GCCCGAGCGAGATTGACTGCACAGTTGGCCCTCTGTCATGCGTTGTCCTCCAAAGAGTGTAAGCCTCAAGCCATAATAGTGGTTTGTTACTTCTGGCCGTGACAAAAGCAAGAAGAAGTACAAATCTTGTGGGTACTGAAGCTAGCTTCTTTTGGTTGGAGGAAAAGCAACGTGATCTGGATTGATTCAGAAAGAAAAGAGAAAAAAAACATCAGATTTAGCAAAACAGTCTTTTTTGCAGTAAGAAGGTCTCTGTTAAAGCTGAAGCATGGCAAGTAGTGAAGCAAGCGCTCAACTTTCATTCTAGAAGTAATTGATTTACATAAATTGCCTCATTCCTCAACATGCAAGTATGACTAAGACCATGGAACAATTTGATCCAAGCAACCATTTTGAGATACAATAAGCCAAAAACCTTCATAGAAATCAATTAATATAATAGCGACAGACTTTAAAAGGAAAATAAGTAATATAGTCTTCCTTGAAATTTTAAGGACAGAAAGGCGACAGCACAACTATATTAATGGACTAAGGCATCTATAACAGTGGACAATAAATGAAATGCAGCAGTAAAGGGGGAAAATTGCCCAAGGAAACTTGATAGGAAGCAACGAGTACAAGTAGCTGAGAAGCAATTTATCCTTACAGTTTGACTGCTTGACAATGACCATGCATTCTAACTACAAAACATTAGCTCTACTCCGCCCACCACCACCCCACCGGCGTCTACGAGCTCTCCTTTTCCTCCCATCCTGTCTTGTCTTGGCTTTTTCCTTCAAATCCCTCTCCCCTCTCCGTTTATACATTTTAAAGGTTACCTGTCTGTCAGCAGCCATCTTCCTCACTTTCTCAGTAATCTCTGCAGCAATCTCCCTGTTATAGAGCTTTCTAAGACCCCTCATGAGCTTAGCAAAGGTATCTGGCTGTGGCATTACATCCGCATCCATCATATCCAAACAATATGAACATGCCTCCTTCACATGGCCGTTTGAGAACAGAGCATGGATCCATATTGTCCATGTATACACATTAAGCTCACATCCTTTAGTGACAATATGACTCCAAACATCTTTTGCCATCTCAAGCTTCCCGGCTCTCAGGACAGAATTCAACAACACTTTCAGGGTACCATACTGAGGAGCAGATAAAAGACCTCTCCCAACCATATCTTTGAAGTACTCACAGGCTTCAATTAAACACCCTTGCGCAAGAAAACCATGAATCAGAATAACAAAGGTATCTACCCCAGGACTAAACCCACTAGCTTCCAAATCCTTCCAAACCTGGATGCCCACTTCCACATCCCCTAATTTAAAAGCCAGCCTAATAACTACATTGTAAATACTAAGATCAGGAACACAACTAATCTTCCTCATCTCCTCCATCAACTCTAAGCATTTTTCCAGCTCTTCCTTCTTCTCATGAGCCACCATAATATGCAAGTAAGTCATCTGATTTGGCCTAAGTCCTTGCTGTAACATACTATCTAAAATCTCATAACCTCTTTCAATCTTCCCCCACTTGCAGAATCCACTAATTAGAGTAGTATAAGTCACAATATCAGCATCACAACCAGAAGTCTGTATCTCAACAAAAACCCGCATTGCCTCCTCCATTCTTTCCATCCGGCAAAGGGCCTGAATCAAAGTGGTGTAAGAAGTTGCATTCGGTTCACAGCCTTTCCTCTTCATCTCCTTCAACAAATCAAAAGCATCCCCCATTTTCCCTGAATGTGCGTATCCACTTAGCAAATTATTGTACACCACGATATCTGGCTCAAAACCTGCCTCCTTCATTTGCACCAGCACAAACTTAGCCTCCATAAGCTTCCCCTCCCTACACCAACCATACAACAACGAAGTAAAATGCCTCAAGCTCGGAGTAAACCTCATTCTCATATCCTCAAACAGTTTTGCTGCTTCCTTGACGCTGCCATTTTTGCACAATGCATCTAATAAACAACCAAACGCATACTCATCAAGGTCACATCCATACTTTGGCATCTCATCCAAAACCTCAACTGCTTTCTTCACCATTCTTGCCGAGGCAAATCTCCTCATCAAAATAATAAATAACTCCGTTGATATCAACTGAGGACTCTCTTTTCTCATCTCTTCAATTAGAGCCCAAACAGTGCCAAATTGTCTCATTTTACTCAGAATTTTAACCATTGCTTTGTACACTTCGTAGCTATGACTATATCCCGGCTGCTTCGATGCCCAAAAAAAGAACCTGTACCCTAAATTCCCTGCATCACCACAACGATTCAGGACACGTTCCGTTAATCCAGGGCGCAAGACGACGCCGGATTCTTGCAAAGCGAGCTCCAGTTTTGGAACCCTGGAGTGAAATTTTCTTAGGATTCTGTACACCTTTTCAACATCAATAGCAAATTCGTCGAACTCCTTGCTATCCGTAAAGTGCTCCTGTTTAGTTTCGAGGCAAACTAGGCCAAATCCATTTCTCCCGTCACTCGACAGAACAGTATCGCCGCTATTGCGCACTGTGGTGGGTTTCTGATATCGCCTGTAAATACGGTACAACGAGTTGGTCGGTAAGGAAGAAACTGAGAGAAAACGGTGTTCGTAGAGAAGAGAAGCAGTCATAGAAGACACTCGGCGCATTCTTCTCTTAGGCTGCAGCTGGAAATAATTTTCACTACGCTAAACGCAAAAACTCCATTTCCTTAAACTCCATTTCCTTGTCTCAAATATTCTCGGAGAAAATTTCTGAAAAGGATGCAAATTTATAATGAGGTAAATTAAAAGAATGCTTTCCAGATTAACCATGATTTAATGAAGAAGAAATGAAGGGAAAACTCCTTCGCATGTATCCTGCCTTCATCATCATCATCATCATCGACCAAGCTTCTCTTGATTGAAGCTTCTAGAACCAGCCATTGTTCTCTTCCTCCCCCACTTTCTTTATCGAGAATACCAGAAGAAAAGGAGGGTTTTATGAGGTGAAACCTCGCCGTTTCCCCCAATGCTTTTGGGCTAACATGTTGGCCAGAGTTTGGGAAGAGACTTGGGCTGAGTTTTGATTTTGAGTCTCCCTTTTTTTTTTTCCTTTTCCCTAAAAGCTATAATAAATAATTAATACAAATATTCAATCAATGGAAATACCAGAAATTTTTGAAAAATATCGGAGTACTTGAATTGATCAATCAGTTGCTTAGAATAAAATTTTGAACAATTGAATAAAATAGAGAAAATTTAACAACTTTGGATCCATTTATCCACTTTTAAAGAAAAAATATAATTTTTTCAAAAGCTTTGAACTTGGTCCAACTAAAAATCAATTCCTCATCATCTTCCTGCGTATTATCCAAATAAACTCCTGAGTCCTGTATCAATGAGTGATGAGAAGGATCCCATGTAGTCACAAATCAGTAGCGGCCATAACCAAAACCTTAAGTAAGCATCCACGACTGATCGAACTCAACTGTCAGCTTGCGAGCCTTTCCCGCTCATGTTACTACAAAGATGTTCTCCATCTGTTCGACCAAATTCACTCCTCTCCCTCGCACCTTCCCCACTCCATCAAACCCGATCAATACACGCTCTCTACAACGATCGCCGCCTGCGCCCATCTCCGGGATGTCGTTTCCGGTGGAGAACTCCACGCCTATGCGATTCGGGCAGGCCTCAAGTCCCACCCCCACGTCGCCAACACGCTTCTCTCGTTTTACGCGAAGGCGCAAGATTCGACTTCTCTGAGAAAGGTCTTTGAAGAGATCGATAACCCGGATGTGTATTCCTGGACGACAATGTTGTCTGCGTGTCTTAAGATGGGGCAGGTTGGTTATGCACGTGAGTTGTTCGATGAAATGCCGAGGAGGGATGTGGCGGTATGGAATGCAATGATCACGGGCTGCATGGAAAACGGATGTGAGGAGATTGGGATTGGTTTGTTCAGAGAAATGCATTGCCTGGGTGTTCGGCATGATAAATATAGTTTTGGTAGTATTCTGAGTGCGTGTACCGTGGAGTTGATGGACTTTGGAAAGCAAGTGCATTCCATGGTGATTAAGACTGGGTTTTTGAGTAAAGCTTCTGTGATCAATGCGCTTATTACTATGTCTTTTAACTGTAAAGATGCCTCGAGTGCATTTTTGGTGTTTGAAGGAGCAGATGCCTTGGTGCGTGATCAGATTACTTTTAATGTGATGATAGATGGTTTGGGTAGCTTAGAAAGAGTCGAAGAGGCATTGATGATGTGGAGGAAGATGCTGGAGGCTTGTCTGAGGCCCACTGAGCTCACTTTTATAAGTCTTATGGGTTCATGCTCCAATGAAAAGATTGGACGTCAAGTACATGCTCAAGTGATAAAGAGTGGTTTCAAAGGTTGTACTTCTGTAGGCAATGCAATCATAACCATGTATTCCAATTGTGGGAACTTACGAGAAGGTTACATGGTTTTTGCGTGTTTGGAAGAGAAGGACCTTGTATCCTGGAATACTATGATATCAAGTTATGCTATAGGGAAATCAGGTAGATCAGCAATCTGGACCTACCAGGAAATGCACAGAACAGGGATCAAGCCAGATGAGTTTACCTTCGGGAGTCTGTTGGTAAGCACAGAGTCCATAGAAACTGTGGAGATGATTCAAGCCCTTGTTTTTAGATATGGGCTTATTTCAAAAATTGAAGTTTCTAATGCATTAATTTCAGCATATTCTAAGCATGGAGAGATAGAGCAAGCCTATCAAATATTCCATACTTCTCAGAAGAATTTGATCTCTTGGAACACTATTATTTCTGGACTCCTGCTAAATGGATTACCAATTCACGGCTTGGAGCAGTTCTCTAATTTGCTCATATCAGAACTCAAACCAAATCCTTATTCAATCAGTATTATCTTGAGCATCTGTGCTAACATCTCAAGCTTACGAATCGGAAAACAGGTTCATGGTTATATTCTCAGACATCAATTTTTCGAGACTTCTTTAGGCAATGCCCTGATAACAATGTATGCTAAATGTGGCATTCTTGACTGGTCTTTGAGAGTATTTGACAAGATGGTTGAAAAGGATATAGTCTCCTGGAATGCCCTGATTTCAGCTTATGCGCAACATGGAGAAGGAATGAAAGCTGTCCATTCTTTCAAGGCAATGCAAAATGAAGGTAAGGTCAAGCCTGATTGTGCCACTTTTACTGCCATTCTCTCCGCTTGCAGCCATTCAGGTTTGGTTGATGAGGGTGCTCAGATATTCAATTCAATGGTGAATGATTACGGCTATATCCCTGAGGTAGACCAAATGTCTTGTATGGTTGACCTCCTTGCTCGAGCAGGGTTTCTTGATGAGGCTGAAAGCATAATAAACAGTCAAGAAATAGAAGCCCAATCCAACCTCTGGTGGGCATTGTTCAGTGCTTGTGCAGCCCATGGAAATCTAAAGCTTGGAAGAATTGTTGCCAGGTTTCTTCTTGAGCAAGAAAAGAATAATCCATCTGTTTATGTTCTTCTGTCAAATATTTATGCATCGGTGGGACAGTGGAAAGAAGCAGCCCATGTAAGGGAACTAATGAAAAGCATTGGTGTAAAGAAGAAACGGGGTAGTAGTTGGATCAGATCATAAAACCAGGTAAGTTCTCAATACAGTGGTTGGATTACAATATAACCATATCTTTTGAGGCAAATTGAATATGATAAACAACCTAGGTTTTGTCTTTGGATCATTTTCTATTTAGTTCTTGATAAATTTCTAACTCTAATTTCATATTATTGTTATCATTTTTTTAGATGGAGTTTCGTATTACTCTTGATATATATCATTAAAATATAAGTTATTGTATTTAAATATTAGTATTCCCAACTTTAAATTTTTTTATTCAACTTAATTTTTTTTATAAAAAAAAAAAAAGATAAAGAATTAAAATCTCCTAATGGAGTTTTCTGTCAGCCCCTGTTCAAGTCCTTCTACACCATATGGGCAAAAGTTGAAAATAATAAATGAAGTCAACATTTATTGCATTGAGGGATTTTTCTTTCTATAGCAACCACTGGGACCCAAAATTAATGCGTCCACCACTATCCATCCAACTCCTTGTTTTGGCAATTGAATGCACTTGAAATTAAGGAGCATTTGCTTCAAAATGACGATCAAGATACATATTATTAATTATATTGAAGCTAAGGGTTCATACAACAAAACTGATTTTAGAAATATATAGTTTGATTGCATACAAGGCAATGAGACCCATTGTCAGTTCAATAGAGTTTAGAATGCAAGCGGGATTCACTTTGACAGACCTAAAAGCCAAAACTACACCTGGTCATATTCTTGAATCCTCTTAAACATCAGTTAACAGGAGGAGCTCTATACACGGCTGGAACAGTAGCCGGGAAAAACATTTGCCTCACTCCTTCTGCCTTGATGATTGGAAAAATAATCCCTGATGCACTCTGTAAAAAGGAATTACTGGGCTTAGTGTAGGAAAATTTAGAAAAAGAAATATTCAATACACCAAGAGTATCAAAAAATAAAGCTTTTCAGGTCACAGTTAGATCAAGAAGTAACTTCAACATGAGAGATGAAGCAGTTTCACAGTTTTATTAAGTGCCTAATTAGTCACTCTCTCTCCACATAAACACATTATTAGGTACTCTCGGAAAAGCTACAGAATTCCACATTCAGAACGTGAGAGACCTACAAATTCCGGTATGATGTCAATGACAAGGTGAGAAAAAAAGATAAATGATGTGATGGTCTGGCTAAATCAAAATCTTTCTTCACCTCACATTTATGATCTTAGAACTAATTGTCCCACAGAATTAAAAGCACGAAGATGAAAGAAATTTGCAACTTGAAGCACAAGTCCTAATCAGATAATTCTAAAGGCTGTGAAATACTCACTGCAAGTAATCTAGCTCCAAGCCATATCCGCTTAAAGGATGGAAATGGCAGCAGCAGACGACCAACACCATATACAGCCACAGCAAAGAAATGAAGAACTAAACTTAATGGGCGAGGGTTTAAACCAGAAAGTAAAGCCACAGGACCAGATGAGCAAAGACCTCCAATGCTGAGGTAATCAAAGCATGCTTGGCGCATTTCCTTTCTTGCTTGATCAGGGGAATCAGAAAATACTTTGTAGAGAGCACCAGCAAGAGTGTTTATAGTAGATGCTACAGGCTGCAAGACATCCATAGCATCTGTTAGTCATCTAAATATGCCAACAAGACAAAATTATCTCTGACCATCTTATAGTTCCTATCAAATAGTAAGAAATATGCATCAAATAATCACTATCCATTTACATTATCTTTATTTCCAAAGTATAGAAATTGAAACTAATGCAAGCACCTAAAGAATTTTAACTTTTTTTTTTTAAATCATGCCTACTAAGCATTTTATTTTGAAGTCAATTATAAAGCTGAAAACAGATGCACGATCAATTTCCCCCCAAGTCAAAAACAAACACCAGAACATTTGTGCAACTTACCTTCCTCAAGGTGTAAAAAGATTCAAGGTATTTGCAAAGAGAAGCTGCATCATTAAGGTTATGCAGTGGCTTGAGGAGATCCCGGAGTACAACAATATCAGATAGCGCCACAGTCATTCCACCACCAGTTAATGGATGGCGCATGTTGAAAGAATCACCCATTAAAAGAGCCCCAGGAGTAGGATGAGGATCAGCCGGCATGCTTCTGTTCGGCATGGTTCTGATGTTACCTTTCTCAACTGCTGATACAAAAGCGTCACAAAGTTCAGGTGGAATCTGAAAAGAAAATAATAATTGATTAAACAGCGGTACTCTTGGAAGTAGATAGAAAAGACTCTTTTTAGAGCGAAAGTATGAAATGATGGAAGGAAATGCAAATATTTGTGAATTTAAATGTGATCAGGACAATCATTATGTTGTAATCTCTAAAATCAGCAGGTAGATTAACAGATACCTGTGGCACCACTGATGTTTTTAGGTACTTGGCCATCTCACCATTAGCAATGGAAGGTACTCTTTGACCAGGTACATCAACCAAACAACGAACTTCTGTACTGCTGATTGGATAAAATAAGATTGGTGAAGGATCAGCCAAAATAACATGCCCATGATTTTCAAAAGGGAGTTGACATTTCTCTAGGACTAAACCCACAAAATAAGATGGGACGTCCACCTGTTGAAAGGTTAACAATAAGTTTCCTGGTAAAGCATGATAATATGATGCATATGGCTAAAGCTAGAATTATCTTGCCTGCTAAAGAACATGGTGTAACTTGATCACCAATAATAATAGAAAATCGAAACAAGATGGCAACTAAATTGATAATTATGATGGAAATATCACCTTAGGATTGCAGAGAGTGCGTCGCAGATTTGAGAAACAACCATCGCATACAACAGTAAGAGGAGCACAGGCTCTCATTTCTTGACCACCCTTAGTTTTGTACTTAACTCCCTTAATAATACCATTTTCTTCGAGTAAAGATGTAACTGTTCCTTGCTCTAGTCTAACACTGAATATCAAAGGAAACGGGCTCAAACAGATTAGCAGCAATTATACTTGATTCAATACTTAGAAAGTCAAATGCACGAAAATCTGGAAGATCTATAAACGCTATTCATTCTTATGCATTGAATCAAAGATTACTTTGGCAACTTAGCAGCTTTTTCTCTCATCCTCTGTATAAAACGCCCATTGTGGAAGCTCCTCCCAGCAACATCTGAATGAAAACTCTCCAAAGGATATGACAGCCTAGCAGTCTTCCCATCCTTGAAGACAACATACCCTTGAACTCTCTGGGCATCAATTTCCTCAACACAATCTACAACCAACACAGAAGGAAACATGCACATATAAATATCACTATCAATGATGACTGAAGATTTAGTACCCACCCAGAGCTTGATGGGATTAAGTTGAAGAAATACTCTGGATTGATCCATACCCTCTAGACCCAATTCAATCAATTTCAGATATCCCCCTGGCTGAAGCAATTCACCTACAATTCTGTCAGGTTCATTCAAATCTCTCTCTATCACATGAACCCTTCTTCCTTCCTGCATTAAGTAACAACAGGTTACTTCACTTGTATCTCTTTCCAAAATAAACTATGACACAAAACTGTTTGACAATAAGGCAATTGCCAAACTCAAAAAAGAATCAGTTCATGAATCACATTAGTCTTAGTTGTAGAACTTATTGTTTTAAGCGGACCGTAAAACCAACATTGAAGAAGGATCTGTTGCTGAAAGATCAGACACTGATTTCTATCTCCCTTACTATTCATCGAGAAGATGGTTAATTAGATAATCCGTGGAAATTATGAAAACAAATAAATTAAAGGAACCCGCGTGCCTTTCCCTGGCAATTGCAACTCCACGGATCGCAAATAAAAAACTATGTCAAAGAATAAAACACAATCAAGCCACGTTAAACCAGATTGTCAGGACGTACAAGATTCAAACAAACATAAACTGGTTTTGGCTATACTGCGAGAAAGCGCCCTTGTAACTCGCAATCCATATATACTATCTATGTATGCATATAGTATGGATACATGGTATATGCCTATGCATATGCATAAGTGTCTATACACACAGAATTCCCACAAAACCAAGACAATGAAAACTCGATAGGAGTCGGGGAGAGAAGGACAAAACAATTTTTTCCAATAAAAAAGAGAAGAAGACGATGAGCTACAAAAGTTTAGTCACAATAAAAAATATTCAATGGCTATATTTCTAATGAAACAAGAGAGAGAGATAGAGAAAGAAAGAGAGAGAGAGAGAGAGAGAGAGAGAGAGAGAGAGAGAGAAAGAGAGAGAGAGACTAATCGGGAACTAACCTTGCCAAGAGTGTGCGCGAGCGCGGCTCCGGCAACGCCGGCACCGACGATGATAACATCGGTGCCGGAGGCATTATCCAGTGCAGCGTTTCCGACGTCGTCAGAGGGACGTGCGCTGTCGTTTTGCGTCTTCAGAAACAAATTCCCACCCTTAACGGTCTTCTTTCCCCTGCTTTTGTCGTTGCTACTATTGTGACGCAAAATGTAGATGAAAACGAGAGCAAAGAGAGAAGCGAAGAAAGTGCCGAGAATGTACTGATCTATGACGACCATCATCTTCTCCGGCCGACTGAATGCTTGCGATCCAAAAGAGGAAACACAAGTCAGTCTCTGGATCTCCGACTTCTTCTTCGCCTCTCGAGGATGAGAAATGCTGCCGGCTGTCAATGGGATTCTCGAATTCTCTTGGAAATATATTGTCAGGGAGAGAAACGATTTATATGGAGGAAGAAATAAAACGGGTTGATACTGTGTACGCGTGTGTGTCAAAACTGCTGCCCTCATGCTGAATTTGGACGGACCGACTGCAATCTTACAAAGATTTAAACTTTTCCTATTTAATTCAAATTAAACTGTAAATTACGTAAATTAAATTAAACACAAATTTAATTAAAATTAAATAATGTTATTTTTATCAAATTTTTATTTTATAATCTGAATCATCTTCTTATTTTTGTATACGATAAAACAAAACGTGACGTATTAATATAATTATATATTACATAATTAGTTTAATTAGATATTTAAGAAATTCATTAACTGAATTATATTTTTGTACTGTAATTTATAATAATATAATATAATATATATATATATATAGAGTAAAAGTGAATGGTAAGCATGCACTTTGGTAGTTACGAAAATCCAAGGATACGGCGTTTTGGACCCGGGCAACTATTTGTCTTTACTTTAACTCTTTTATTATGAATAAACTAAAAGTCAAAATCAATCAACCCTTTTTAGTTTGTGGACATCTTTCGTTCCATCAATATATATATATATATATATATGTGTGTATAAATGAATATCACATCTCATCTTATTATTTTTAATTATTTTTATAAAAAAAAAATTTAGAGTAATAATATATTAAATTTCACGTAACAACCAAATTAAAATTAAAATTACAAATTCACATTATGATTACAAATTTTATAATTTTGAATTATATAAGCAAGTATGATATATAGTTATTCTCATTTTCAACACTAATTTCAATATTATTTTCAATTAATTTATTATCTATTACAATGTTAAGAAACTATCTATATATACATATATGTACATATATGTGTGTGTGTGTGTGTGTACCCAAAATACTAAAATGCTAATGCCCCATGTATCTAAATTATTATATGTATAATCTTTTTGAGGAAATATATATATATACACACACGTGTATTTACGCGTACGTAACTATATATATAATTATATAAATACGTAACTATACAAATTAAGCAGCATATAGATATAAATATGGTCATCATCATGAAAACTATGACTTAGTATTTCAACGGAAATTATGTCTAATCAATTTTTTCATTATAATTTTCATGGAGAATAACATATACGTTCAACCCATGTGAAAAATAATTTTCTCGTAGTATATACGTTGATCTCCAAACTACCTTGTTGTCGCTAAATTTATATATTATTATTATTATTATTTTATTGGACAAAATATAAATTTTAATTATTTAAAATTTTTAGAATTACTGAATTTCTTAATTTTTATATATTCATACAAATATTTAAATATAAAAGTAAGCAACGACAGAATGGTATCTAACAAAATTTAGTGAGAAAGTGACATTTTTATTTATTATATGTAGCTAAAAACTCATTTAAATTATAATTTTAAAAATTAATTAATTAATAAGCACGCCTAACTCATTAAATATTTTAAAATTTTAATTATATATAAATTAGTAATATAAGCACAAAATTAGATTCAGCTATCTTCCGCTAAATAGATATTTTCGTGTTTAAAATTATTATTGTTTTCTTAATTTAGAAGTTTTTATTCAATTAAAATTAAATAACAATACCTAATTGAAGCCCGAAAGCATGAGATGGGGTGTGACACGTCGTAATCAAACACGTGGAAAGATGAGATGGGTGCGGACGAAAGAAAGGAAAGCCTCTTCCAATTTTCATTATTTTTTTATTTATTTTTTTGTTTAAAAATATAAATATAAATAAATAAGGTACACATATTTTCATAAATATATAAATATTTCAAAATAGTTTATAAATCTGTTAGTTAAAAATTAAATAAAATTTCAAATTTTAAGAGAAAAAAATATATATATTGAGGGCTAAAAAATTTAGGAGAAAATTTTGTAGACCCGTGAACCTAGACAATATTTATTTAATAATTACAAGAAAAATTCAAAAGCAAAATAATGATTTGTTTCTAGCCAAAAAAAAAAAAAAAAAGGAAAGAAAACATTTTCTTTTACATTCGACTTATAATATATAATTATTATATTATTACAGTTAAATTGACAAATTAATTATCCAAAAAAAAATTATGAAAATATAATTTAACGTGCATAAATAGTTTATATATGACTCTTCCAACTCCTAATAAATTTTATTCTAACAAGTAAATACTAAATATAAATTCAACGTTTTTTTTTTTTTAGTTTTCTAGGGAAAGTGGGTGGGTCCCAGCGACGGGGAAATCTTTAAATAGGGAAATTAATTTGGGACCCTCTAGCCATCTGTCCACCTTTTATTCATTATTTCGTTTCATGTATTAATCAATTAATTTGGTTACGTTAAATACGAATTGGGTTGGTAGGAGCTGGAGAATTGCTGCTTATGGTATCTCAAATTAATTAAACCTACTACCAAATTCTATATTAATTTGAGAATCAATCAGACCGTCACGTCAAATAAAACAGAGGATTTACCTTTCTATACGAGGGCTTGGCCTTCGTATCATGAAATTCAATGGGTTGTTTTACTTTTTTTCAAAAAAAAAAATGGTGGGTTGGGCTAGGGCTAGGGCTAGGGCTGGCCTTTATAAATCCTTATGGACAGAAGTTTCAGAAATCCTTAACGTCCATTACGAAACAAATTGGGTTTTTAGCTTTTATGTCAAAATATCAAAATCTAATTTGGGCTTGTTGGTGGGTTGGAAATGATTGCATGCAAAAAAAGTTATATTAAAAATTACTTGTAAGACCAATATGGCAATAATGCTTAATGTATAATTATATATTCGATATAACCAATTAAAACTCTTAGCGTCACGAGTTTGAATCTCACATAAAACATAAAATTTATCATTTTGTAAATAAATTATAAGTTGGCAGCGATTACTTCACTCGTAATGAACTATTCACAGCTATAATTAAAATAATATTTTCTTTACCATTAAATTTATTTAATTGAAATAGTTAAAACATAATATAATGATTTGTGGGTTAAAAATGAAAAAAAATATATATGTAATATCAAATTAAACTTGTTAGTTAATTTAGCTGGAAGTTTGAAATAAAGCATGCTCTTTCTTTACTTTTAAAAAGCTGCATTCGATTGTTTCTAACTCATACTCAGAATAATCTAATTAAGTAATTGGTTTCAATTAGTCTCGTAATTTATGCGCATAAGAATTATTACTACATTTATCTAAACTGTTCACAAATCACTTTTTAACCAAATGATTATGATACCCAAATACTTTCTACTTTTCTTTCTTGGGTGAAATAAGCAAAAAAAAAAAAAAATTAACTTTAGTCAAAGTTTTGACTTTGATTAAGAATTAATTAACCAGAATTTTGTGGCTTTACGAAGCGGTTGAATTATTCATTAGCCAATGTCTCTAAATCTAGAACAATCAAAGCAAAAACATAATCCGTGTGACATGGAATTCAAAGCAAAAAACAAAAATCATGTGACCAAAATTCATTCAACAAACATTTACACCCTATAAAATACGATATGTAAATATAATATTTTCAAAATAAAATATACAGAATTTAGTTCGATTGATAATCGATTTTAGTTTTCGTTTTATATATATTATATATATATATTAAAAAATATATAATTAATTCATGATCTATCGATAAAGAAATATTGATATTTAATAAATATTTAAAGTGTAATTTATTTTAAATTTAATTTAAAAATATTATTACTGAATGTAAAATTATTAAAATATATTTACTACAATAATAATAAAAAATAAAAGAAAATATTTATTCAGGAAATTAATGAATTAAAGTTTTTTTTTTTTAAAAAAAAGCACTGGGAAACTTTAAGAGGCAAAAATGAATGTGGTGGGTTGAGGGGAAGAGAATGGGGCCCAGCCCATGATGATGTGCATGCCATTCTCGGAGGACCCATTAATGAGAGGGAATGAAAGCACGTTTGACCATCTCTGCTTTCGGTGTCACTTGATTGATTTTATCTCCTGCTATCTAATCAACATTCAATCCTTTTGTTCGCAGCATCACAGCCGTTAATCAGATCTCTCCGATCAAGTTGAGGTGGACCCCGCACCCTGCTCAACCTTAATCAGTTTTTGTTTTTTGGTTTAAGTTGTCTTATTATCTACGAACGATAATCAATCGAACCCATAACTTTTTGGGAATTTTTTTTTTTTTTTTAAAATACACCACTTAATCTAAGACCAAATTTGTATTAATATATGACAATAAATTATATTATATTATTTTAATTATTTAAATTTAATTTTTGTGCATAAATATTTACTAAAATTTAAATGGATTTTATAAATAAAAAATTAAAAATATAAAGCAAGTCAAAGGTTAGGAAAAGAATATATAATTAGGCAGGAAAAAAAAAAAAAGGTGTAGCCTTAAAGACAAAAAAAACTGGATAATCACAGTAGCCAATTAGATCCTTTTTGTCTAATTGGGTTTGACTTAAAACAAGTTTATAAGTTATTTTTCCCCCAAAATTTTTGGAAAATAAGGTTTCTTATTTTTCTTCCTCATGAATTGGTTGCAATGGGGTCCCTTTTTTTGATACGTGTGATTTAAGGTTATTTTGCTATAATTGAGGAACAGTCCATTGTGGGCAAAGGGTTTATGTTTGTGTCTTTACCCAAACTAAATTATACAACAAGATAGGAGTCCATCGTATCTATTCACTTGGATTGATGTATTTTCATATGGGTTTGGTGTATTTTAATTATTTTAACCTTACTTTTGAGTTAATTTAAGATCCTATATGTTTTCTTCTTATTAATTTGATCGGGTACATAATTCATATTATAATTAAAAAAATTAACATGATAAAATTACATTATACCCATAAGGAAAATTGAATTTTTGTAAAAAAAAAAAAAATTGAAAATGAATTCATAAAATACTATATTTTACATTGACCCTTTTCAATTTCCTTAATATATCATAGTTTAATGAGACAAACAGATTAAATATCTGTAACAAAACCCACAAAACTCAATAATGAAAGCCACAAGCCCATGTTACTAATAATGAACACACCACATTCCCACGTAAAACTTGTTAATGCCAATCCATTTATCCCAATTGACTCTTACAAAATCTGACATTTTACCAATTAATTACTTTTGTTCTTTTAAATAATAAGAATTGAAGTAGTCGAGATGGTTGATGGCCATGGAGATGGAGTCTGATTGAACAAAAGCCAAAAGCAGGAAGCAGAGCAGAATGTTGGGTAGACCACACCTCAAATAATTATTAATTACAAATTCATCAAAGCATGTGGTGAAGTTTGTTTCCCACCACCTCACACATTGGCAAACCACTATAAACCCCACAACCTAAGAAAATTTAAAATTATACGAATTAAATTTTTAAAAAATACAATTAAAAAAAAAAAAAAAACCCACTTTTAATATATCCGCACCTGCCTCAGATTTTTTTTTTTTGAAGAAAAATTATGATACCCATTGGCTCGAATTTTAATTTTATAGTATATAAATATGATAAATCTGCATATTTATTTTTATAAAAATTTATGATTTAATTATTGTTATGGTCTGACTCTATGAGTCCCCACCAGTCACCACACCGCTGCTTTTCTATGTACTTTAGCACAAAACAGCCAAAATTCCACGGCGCAGCTCTTCACCCTATGGGCTAAATACTGAAAGACTCACTCAGCACTCAAAAAAGTGAAAAGTAATTTTATTAATTAATAATAGCTTAATTAATAAAATAATCTGAGCAAGAAAATAAATTTAAAAATTAATTTGTTGAGAGAAACAGACCGGGAGAACAAGGAGTGCACTGATTTTTACTGAAGCTTTTTCTCGTGTTTGAATCTGGTTTTTACACTGTTGATTGTTGGGAATAAATTTAAATTTAAGAAAAAGAAAAGAAGAAAGGGAAAGAAAGGGGAAAATCCCTCTAAAAATCATTAAGGAGAAAAAAGAAAATCGAAGATTAGATCACACCCTGAGGAAAGAAACTGCATACCTGATTGAATTTCAATTTTCTTGATTTAAGATTAAGATCACCTTTAATAACCTGGAATTGACCCGTGGTTGGAAATTAATTTAGGTAGCAATGAGGCTTAATAATCAGGCATGAGCTGACTGATCTTGCCTTCTTCGGCAGCCATCTTCTGCTCAGTGATTTTCAACCAGATGCAAACTCCGGTGAAGCTGAGCACCAAGCTCGCAAGCCCACTTCCCAATCCGATCCCAACAATGGCCAGAACGGACAACCCTTTGGTTTTCAGTGGCGGCAAAGGGTAGCCGTAAAGATCCTTGTTCCCTTCAAACGACGTCGAATTGAACCTCGGCAAGCCCCCGCTCCTGTTCGCCAGAGACGCCGGGATTTGCCCTGACAGCTTGTTGTTCGACACATCGAAAGCGGACAATCTCGAGAGCAAACCCAATTGCTGCGGTATTTGCCCGGTAAGCAAATTGTCGTGGAGATCAATCACGTTGAGGTACGCACACATTGTGAGCTGCGGGGGGATCTCGCTTTCGAGCCGATTGGACGAAAGGTTGAGGACGGCGAGATTGACGAGGGACTGTAACTCAGCGGGGATGGGTCCGGTGATGGAGTTGGAAGAGAGGTCGAGGGTCTGCAGATTGGTGCAGTTGGAGAGGTAAGGAGAGATTGAACCTTGAAGAGAGAGGTTGGTGAGGGAAAGCTTGTAGATGCGGCCATTGTTGCAGGTTGCGCCTGGGAGGTAGGAGGTGAAGCCGCTGCAAGGATTGGCGAAGATTGACTTAGTCCAGTTCTGAAGATTGTTTAGTGGGTCTTCTAGAGACTCCCTCAGGTGGGTTAAACATGCCTCGTCGCTCGGATCTGAAGTCGAAATTGGCAGCTGCGCCGCACAGAATAAACTCATCAGCAAGATAATTAGCTTATCCCGCCCACCCATCTATAAACGAACTTGGTTTTTTCTCAGCTTTTCTAGCTCTTCAAACTCCAGCTATGGCGACCCACTGATAGTTAAAAAGATATATATATATATATATATTATAGAGGGAGAGAGAGAGAGAGAGAGGCGACTCTAGGTGCTTTCTAGTTGATACTGTTGAAGAAGAAGAAGAAAAAGTCAGCAAGAAAATAGGAGCATCGATCCTCTTCGTGATATCCTTTTGTTGTTTTCCTTAATCGTGACTATGAATATACCGGGGAAATTAATGAAAAATACGGAGAGAGAATGGTATCCGTTTCTTGAAAAAAACTCCTGTTGGGTTACAAAAGAAGAGGACACGGTTGGAAAAGATATAAGAGGAGGCAGGAGGAGATAGATAGCTCAGTTCTTGGTTATGGGTTTTGGATTTTAGGGAGGAGACATGACAGTAAAGAAAAATAGAGAGAGGAGATGGGGAGGGGGAATTTGGGGTTTGGTGAAAACGAAATTATTTGATAATGTGACAGAAGGAGTTTGCAAGGTGGGGTTTGTGAATTGTGACTCCGCACATACAAGATGTACAAACGAAAGTGACAACACACAGGGACGGGGGTGGAGGAGGAGATGGAGGAGGAGCAGGGAGCAGGAAAGGAGAAAGCTCTGCTTATGGGTGTGTTAGGGGCATTTTGGTAATTTTAACAATATACAATTCTAAGAAACCATCGTGCATTTCTGTTGCAGCGCTGTCGATCTGGGATTTGACTTGTGCATTCATGAATGTGGGGGGAAGAAGAAGAGGAAGAAGAAGAAGAAGAAGAAGAAGAGGGGGGGGGTGGTGAGGAGTATAATTGCTTGTTTTTTTTTAATTAAATATTTATTATTTTGTCGAGGAATTTTTTTAACTTTATAAATTAAAAATCGAAGCATTAGATCTCCATTACTGTAAATATTTAATGTTATACATCACTAATTATCCATCAAGGCTAAAAAAATATTAACAAATATTTGCACTTTTATAAATCTTTTGTTACAAAAATATGAAATTAATTCATTTTATTTAATTATTACGTTGATTTATATAATTTATTTTATATAATATTAGGAGTTCGCATGGCAGAACCTCTTTTTGTCGTTGACTTTCTTATGATACATAAGGAAGTATAAAAATTAATTAGGATTGTTGTTAACAAATATAAAGTGTAACTACGGTTATGCGCTTATTTTTGAAAAATATAAATATAATACATAGTTATAAAATTAATAACATAAATAAAAATTAACGAAGTATATAAAATTATAATTAATGATACATATTAAATAATTAAAATAGATTATATTAAATTTAAAAAAAAACACCATAATATTAAAATTTAAATATAATGTGTGACAAAATAAAAGATTACGTTAAAATTATATTCAAACTCTTCTTTTTTACACTTTATTCTTCTAATTTATATTTTTTTAAAATTAAAAAAAGGGTCGGTCCAATAAACAGTCAATTCGTACCTCAATGTCCCATTGAAATATATTTGTACATTTTATATTTTATTTATTTTCAAGTGTTAATATTTTGATTCTTGTATCTTTAATATCTCTCCCCTTTTAAGGTACAAGAAAGGTAATCAAAAGAAGAAGACCCTAAAGCCAACTCCTTTTATGGCAACTTTCTAGTTAAGAACAAATAAATTAAACTTCAAAAATTATATTTTAATTTTATAATAAGATTTAAATGCTAGTTCTTTTAGGTATAAATGGAATTCTCATTGCTTATTATTTTTATATATCATAGTTTTCGATGTTGTGTCCTAATTTGTCTTATGTTGTACCTATGGTCATGCTCAATTAGGGTAAAACACCAAATCTTATAATAATAATAATAATAGTAATCTAAAATAAGTAGTTTGGTTTAGGTAATATATTTTTGGTGATGGTGTAGGCGTGCTCTATAAAGCAATTATATGATGATATGTATTGGTTTTAATTATACTTTTCTCTGACTTCTTTTTGTGTGTGTGTGTGTGTATATATGTATGTATATGTACACTTCCGTAATACATATTAATTGGGTAAAATTCCGGTAAATTTTATATTTTTTTGAAAGAAAATAAATCTAAAGGGTAGATTGATAACGGGTAAAATGATGGGGCTATCTCATTGTCTCAACTTAATTAAAGGGTAAATTGTAATTTTATTTTTCTGTAATTCTATTTAATTCAATTCAAATTTTATTGTTTTTAATGATTTAGTATATATATGGATATATATATATATATATGTATATGTTTTATCTCCCAGATCCCAAACAAGTGGTAAATAGAAAAAAACGAAAGGGGAGTAGTCCGTAGAAGAAGATAGTGAGGTTGGGCTTGCTTTTGGTCCCAGAAACGAAGGGCACATCGGCCCCCTAGTGCGGGCAACAATGGACCCAACATGGGTGTCTACTAACCAACACACTGTTGGAAGTGTAGTAGACCCAAATGAAAGTGAAACATCCATAAAACCCCCTCCGTCATTTTCCCCTTCTAACTCATTCTCACGGGGCCTAAAACCCTAAATTTATTAGGCCAACCACAAAATTCCATAGCCCAATTTTTCTTTACTTTTGAGATCACAACTATAAATATCCTCCATCTTACTCCCTACAATTTTAGAATATATATTTATAGTGATAAACTGATATTCAAAACATATGTTTACGGTGATGTTATTACAAAGAATCATATCTAAATTTGGGCCACTTCAATCTTGCTTTAGTGGTACATACTATGTACATACCACATATTTTATATGAGATGTAAAGAGGATACCAAACACGCTCAATGAATAAGACACATGCTTATTGTCTTTTCACTTAATGTTTGGCATCATTAGATACACACTTCATCTTCTTCTATTATTTGCTACTTTTATTGTGTTTTTGTTAATACCCTTTAATTTATTTCAACCAAAACTTTATATTAATAATGAAGAGGTGGTCTCGGATCGATCATATGGGTCCTCCCCAAAACAATCGTACCCTTAATTTTTAGGTATCACAAGTCAAATATGCCCACAAAGATATGGGACAAATTAAATCAAAAGGGTGTCCGTGTGCCCGACAAATTCTTCTCTTTTGGGCTTGTCCTCCGTCGGACTACAACAACATTCTTCTAATAAACCAAGACAGAATATCTCCTACGCCTAAATTCCAAAACAACTTTTGCACCTACTCTATTTTTCGTAGTAGTTTTGTAAATTAAAAAACTAATTTCTAATAAATGAAAAATAAATTCGTTAATTAATAACATATTTCATGATTCCGAAACTTTTTTAACTCGAGTAATTTTATTTTATTTTAATGAATGAAATTAATTTTTAATTTTTATTTATCAAATTAGATTTTTATAAATAAAAAAAAAAGGTCCTAGAAAAAAGCACGGGGCAATAAATTATAGGGTTATAACGCTAAGTGTTTGTATGTTGGAAGCCCAATTTTTGGCCCATTAAACATATGGGCCGGGCCCTCCGTCTAATCTACTGGCGGGTGTGATGATCTCTCAAGCTCAAAATCTTTTGGATTTGACACATGATTTATTCTTCTCAGAAGAAACAATTTTCATCTTCATTCACAGCTGTTTATAACCAATAAGTCTCTGTCTTATCCTACGAAAACAAATGCATATATATATATATATATGTATATATGTATATGTTATGGATAAATACACACACACACACACACACACACACGTATGTATATAGACACACGGAAACACGTTATTTTGTACTGTCAATTTGCACGAGATGAATCTGTCAATAAGCTGTCATGAAGTGACTGCAATCGAACTTGAAACATGATTTGATTAATCTTAATCCACGCTTTAATTATGTTTAAATTTTACGAACAAATTAAATTGATACAACCTGTTAGTGCTTTTACATCGAGTTGCATTATTAACGATGGGTTAATTAAGCAGGACCATGTTAATTACGGAACCTGCATCTCGTAAGATATATATATATATATATATGTATGTATGTATGTATGTATGTATTGAGCATTTAGTCCCTGAATAATTCATTATGATTAATTATTTAAGACGGAGAGAAAGATGATTTCTATCAATATCCATTATTAATTTAATTAATAATTTTTATATGCTTTATTATTTAAATTTATTATTATTTATTTTGTAAAAATTTTAATAATGTTCAAATGGAGTCAACTTGCATGCACAATTAAAGTAGCCTCTCAAGTATGGCAGCCAATTAAAGACAAATTATCATGTCTTAATTAAACTTTCATCCCTTTTGACCTTCCCTTGCATGCTTCTTTTGTTTTGTTCTACTGTTATTCTTTTCCCTTTCTCTCTGTGTGTGGCAAAGGATGGGGGGGATTACTCATAACTAAGAAAGCCTAAAGGCTATCCAGCTTAATGATGAAATTCTTTATAAAGAAATAGCCCGTCTG